CAAGATTTGATAGCATCCCAAATCGTCTTTGATGTATAGTGTTCTCCAATTTGAAGAATCAACGCTTCCGGAATCGACTGTAAGATTAGAACAATCGCATCATTGTTCTTCTTTAAATCGATGTTCCCTGATTCGATAATATCCCAAGCGAAGCATAACTTTCATTCTTATCGACCATATGGTATAGTTGGTCGATGTTAGCATCGGACATGGTGTGTCATTCTTCATCTCAAGACCTTTATCACGTATTTGAGAAGCAAATTTGTCCCATGTTTTGATCGAATTACAACTCCTCTTGTAAACGATTTCGAAACCTGGAGGCTCTGATACCAATTAAAGTTGCAAAATCACGTAAATTATAAGAACTACTCTTCTTATTAGATAAACTCTTTCAAAACTAAATCAATGTGTTTCTCTTGTTTCTCTTAAGGGATACAACATCTCTGCAACTCCTTATATAGGTCGAAGCTAATTCTTAACCTAATAATAATATGGAAACATTTCTAAGCTCGATATGTTTTCTTTTTTCTTAACTTACTAAACTTCCTTTTAATAAATTAATTTTTTCATTAAGTTGATTGAAATTATCCAACAGTTTTCCGATACCATATACAAGTTATTACTAGTGTCCACCATACACACCCAGTCATGTATACTAAATTGCTATATAATTGCCTGTTGAGACAAATATCTCATCTAACCGTGTTTGATTATCTCTTGCCATCTTGGTTATAAAAATGAATTAATGATAACGATTGAGACCCACTAATCAACCATAGTTTTTGTTATATAACTTATCTGGCATTCACATATTGATGTAGTGTTTGAATCTTCCTTTCCTCATCCGTTTTTCTTTTCTTTTTTTTTGTCTTTTGACAAGTATTGACTATAATTAAAAGGTTTACTGGTGAGATAGTCAATTTTGAAGACGAAATTAAAAATGTAGCATATGATTTGATATTATTAGATCTCATAATATTTTGTTTCTTTTCTTTCGGTTATCTCTTTTCTTTAAACAAGTTGCCGGTAATAACATCCAAAACACATATGTCATTTAAATAAAAATATTACTAGAATAGTAGTAATTATGACATCCATGTTAACTATAGTGATAGTATATAAATAGAATAGACCATACTAAATGGTATAGTTTATGTTACTGAAATTATAAAATGATTTAAATATATTATATTACTATACATATCCAAAATTAGTTAAACTGAACCTAATTGCAATTCAAATCTTTCAAAAACTTAACCCAAAACACTAATCACTAATTATTATCAAAATAGAATAGGAAATAAGGTAATGGTTACCCAACATTAACCCAAACCTACTACAAACTAAATCCAAAACACTAATCACTAAACCCTAAAAAATATAAATCATAACCCAAATATCAAAATATGCAGATTCAAATAAAATAGTACAACAAAATAAGATAGTATATATTGTTCAAATAGAATAACTTACAATATATACAAGTGGTGGTGGTTAAGTGAAAGAAGTGGAGACTAGTATAAAAAACTAAACCCAAAATACTAATCACTAAACTTATAAAAAATTATAAACCCTAACTCAAATATCAAAATATGATATAATACATATATTAAATATTATCAAATAGAATATTAACAAACGAAATAGCATAGTACATATTATTTAACTTTTAAAAATTTATTAGTGCAAGGAAGGAGGTAATGATTACCTCAACATCAATCCAAACCTACCATAAACTAAATCCAAAACACTAATCACTAAACCTTAAAAAAAATATAAATCCTATAAATAAATATAAACTCTAACCCAAATATCAAAATATGCACATAGTACATAATACTAAAATTATCAAAATAGAATAGTAACAAACGAAATAGCATAATACATATTGTTTAAATTTTAAAATATTTATGATTGCAGGGAATGAAGTAATGCTTACCCCAACATCAACTCAAACATACCATAAACTAAACCCAAAACACTAATCACTAAATCCTAAAAATAAATATAAACCCTAACCCAAATATTAAAATATGCAAATCCAAATAAAATAGTGACAATGAAATAACCTAGTACATATTGTTTAAGTAGAAGAGTACAACCGGAAACTTACAGTATATACGAGTGGTGGTGATTACGGTGGAAGAAGTGGAGATTAATATCAAGAAGATTGTGGTTGTTTTGAAGGATCTAATGACAAAACTATAAAATCAAAAATTACAGATCTGGTTAATAACTAAAAGAAATGATCATGATAGAAAAAGAGATGGTGATTAAAGACAATAAATATAAAGTCTGGTGTGAAGTTGGTAATAATGTATCATAACGCTGACAGAAAATAAAACAGTAGGGAGAGAAGAAAAGTGGTGGTAGTTGATAATTAAAAAAAAATGTTTTTTTCTTTGGAAAAAAGTTTGTCAGCTACACGAAGTATAGTGTAATATGGTGAAAACCATCCAAAGTATAAGAATGTGTTAACAACTACACGATGTATATGATAATACATGCCACATACATGATGTTAATGTAAACATGGTGCCAACATCACAACAAGGTCTAATTGATTTTAGCTTAAATAATTGGGATCATAGCGTAAGTTATTAAAGTTAAACTCCGATTTACAATATCCGACCCTAACCAAACATTAAACCCGATCTTTTCACCCAATCGATTTCATTAAGGTTTGAAACAAAAAAAAAATTGGAGATTTCGAACACAAAGAGAGATTGAGAGAGACAAAGAGAGATGGAATTGGGAGGAGGAACTAACCATAAGGGGAAGGGAAATCGAATCCGGATGAGCTAATCAAAGAAGGAGAAACATGGCGATGATGAGATAAGAACTCTTTCTTATTTACTTCAATTATTGGAATAAATTGATGGATTTACCATGTTCTAATGATATTTTTTTGGAAACAGTGATTCAATACCGGCGAAGATTAATTGTTTACATTCGGGTGTGTACTTGCATAGATTGAAACCTGTAAATGGTCCAAGGTTTTGGGAGAAATCTGGTGAAGAACGTATTGAATCATCTCCTTACAAGAGACCACCTCGAAGACCAAAAGGGAAGGCAAGAATTAAAGGAATAAATGAATCACCCAAGAAAAATCAGACCAAAATTAATAGAAAAGGAAGAATAGGTCATTGTGGTGTATGTGGTGGTGCAGGCCACAACTCAAGGAAGTGTCCTAAGAGGTAAATTGTTATCATATTGTCAAGCTTTTGTCTTTTTGTGTTTGATTAATTTTAGTTTGTTGCAGTCTGAAGAAAACAGAGCTAAGCTTAGACGTCTTAACGTGGAACAACAAGCTCAGGAACAAGAAGTTGTAGACGTCTCCTCAACCGCACCACCTGTTACACAAAATTGATTTCTCTCATCCAAGTTTATTTAGCTTTCTAATATGTATTTGTAAGCTTTGGATATGTATTAGAATAATTTTAATGTCTCTCAACTCTTCTTATGTATGATAACTCAGTGAGATAAAACTCTTATTTTGTATGAATTTATGTGTTGTAATATTTTGTTTGAAGTATGTGATCTAGTCTTTAGAATGATAAAAGGAAACAAACAACCTTTTAGATCAAATACTTGATGTTCACAGCATTACAAAGATGTTCACAACATTACAAAGCTTCTAAGAACATTAACTATGTCTTAAGCATTACAACAAGTACTTCACAGCTTAAGAAAATTGTTAATGATGTCTTCTTCTGTTTCTTTTTTAGTCAAATCACTTTGAAGTTTAGTAATTTTCTTCTCCAATTCTACAATAGTGTTCTTCTTCACAATTTCTAGATTCATTCAAAGCTTGTTTTTGCCACCCAAAACCCTCTTCCTTGTCAAACCATCGAAAAAAATTGCATGCACCTCCACGCTACAAGAATGACAAAATTAACAACCAAAATAACTCAAAATCAAGAACAGATTACAACTTCTCGTACCTTGTATCGTTCACACCCATAGAATCTTCGACTCGGATTTTGGTCAGTCCAAGCTTGAGCTATCTTCGCCGGCAATCCGCAATGGCAAAGCACATTGCCTTGAATCACCTTTCCCTTCCCCTTATGGTTAGTTCCTCCTCCAGTTCCATCTCTCTTTATCTCTCTCAATCTCTCTCTGTGTTTGAAATCTCCAAAAAAAAATTTTTCTCGAACCCTAATGAAATTGATTTGGGGAAAAAGATAGGGTTTAATATTTGGTTAGGGTCGGATATTGTAAATTGGAATTTAACTTTAATAAATTACGCTTTGACCCTAATTATTTAAGCTAAAATCAATTAGACCTTGTTGTGATGTTGGCACCATGTTTACATTAACATCATATATGTGACATGTATTATCATATACATCGTGTAGTTGTTGACACATTCTTATAATTTAGATAATTTTCACCATATTATCCTATATGTCGTGTAGCTGACGAAGTTTTTTCTTTTTTCTTTCAATAACATAGTATATATTTTATAAATAATTGAAAAACTTTTTTTTGTGAGATAATTAATCTTCTTCTTTCAATAATATAGTATATATTTTATAAATAATTGAAAAACTTTTTTTGTTAGATAATTAATTATAATTTTTTGTGGTTATACAGCTTAATTCTCCATAATTAAATCACTATCGGAGTTGCTTCTTTGAAGCCAAAAAAGAAAAAAATTCAGAGCTGCTCCTTGTCACAATAACTGTGGTTAAAAGATTTGTATTATAATGACCTGAGACCTACTAATTAATCATAGTTGAATTAAAAGCTCAATTATTCTAACCATAGTTGAGATACATTTCATCCTTTAGTTGAATTATTGGAAGAAAGTTTACCAAACAGTAGAAACATTACAAGAGACACGAGGAAGCATCACCACCGTTAAAAAAACCAACCCAGATGGTGGAAATCAAACGGTTACTAACAACAATGAACAAAGAAAAATAATAGGGTTGCGAATACAGCAAAAAAAAAAACTGAAAATAAACACGTGGCGAATATAGAACATGATACACACACTACATCACAGGCATGTCACTCCTTACTCTCGGTTCAACGGTGCTGGCTCCTAGTATCGTCGCTGTACAGCCTGCGAATCACAACGGTTAAGACATCCTAGATCTGATTTGTCCGGTCAACGACCACAAAACTCTAGATATTAATAACAAAGTTACTGTACCAGTCGTAGACGGTGGGAGCGTTTGGGTGAGAGGGCTTGTCGAAGAGATTAGTACCCATTCCTCTGGTGGCGATGTTACTTCCTGGATGAAACACACTCCTCCACACGTTCTCTTTACGTGCCGATCCTGGCGTCGTTGGAGTTCCTGGACTCCCCGCCGCAGCTGGCATAGCCTTGCTGCTGCTCCCTTCTCCTACACCTTTTCAAGATCAAATAAATAACTTTTAGTTAATCATATATATACATGCAGAAGATTATGTATCTGAAGGTTCAGAACTTGTTGGTTACCAAAAACATACATGTGCATGAGCTGTTAATAGAAATATATGCGCCATACCTTTGATGTCAATGGGTTGGGCGTTGAACTTGTTACGGAGGCGGCCAAGGCCATGCTCTGGCTTAGGTCCAGCTACAGTTTCATCCCACATCTTGTTTTTTTCTCTGTTTTTTCTTTTGTTGATTATAGGTGAAGGATCCTAAATGTTATGTACTTAGTGAGGGTTCTTCATGTCATTTATAGGCGAGACCCGTAGTTATAACGATTTCTGAAAATATCTTTATTTTTCACCCGTAAAATATCTAACAAATAAAAAGAAATAATTCTTATTTTCCCTTTCCATTGAAAAATATCAAAGGAGTTTTTTGTATTTGCATAAAGTAGAATCTATTTATCCAGACCTTATTGTCTAATAAAATCATTTTAACCTTCGTATAGTTTCTCACTTCTTATTTTCCCTTTCCGATTTGTTGCACAAGTTCTTTCAGCTCTTTTGTTTTATCAGTTAATTCCCATTGAATTCGTTATCTAACTAATTAACCTTCAGATGTCAAAAAAAAAAAAAAATTCTAACTAATTAACCCAAATAATATTTTCTTACTATTTCAACACCTTTAATCTATTTTTTTCCTGGTAGAGTAGCCTTTCTAGTAGCATATACGTCTCTGGAGATTTGCAATTTGCAACTTCCAGTGTGTCAATCTAGAATGAAAAACACACTATTCTTGCAAATTATGGTCTCTGATCCAATTTAAAAGTGTCAAGTCCATAAAACGTATACAACCTTAACTTAAAACACTATTGTTGTAAATAACCGGAGTGACCAGTGAGGGAGAAGTGTGGAAATATAAAAATGCGATGTGGATAGAGATGGAGATATGGATAAGGACGAATGAGTCATGAAGTAGGACCCTGGAATCAAAGAGTATCCCAAGGCTTTCGTGGAAAAGTATTATAGGAACAGCAAATGAGAAGTACTATAGAAACAATAATGGATGAGATATGATGGAAGGAACAAGCTATAGAAGCCCACAAAGCTAATCACAAATAAAGAAACAGAGTCCAGATGATCAACAACGTACCTCAACATCTCTCTGTTTCTCTATCTTTCCACCTTCATCTGCTTCCAAAGCAACCACCAAACAGACTAACAACTATATGATATAAGCCCATCTCTATCAAGTTATTTCTTAAGGTTGCATTCAATGAAAAAAATAATCCTTCATCTCTCTAAGGTAATACGCTGTTTCTAAGCATTGATGATTTCTACAATGTATACACATCTCCAGTTCCAACCTTCTTCCATTATTTGTGAAAGATAAGGATGGAGATCTCAAAAGAATTAGATGCTAAAGTCCTAACTGGTGACATCATTTACAAGAATATCATTAGCTTGCCCTCATGCCACCCATATAAGGTGGCGTTTGATTTGATGATACCTTAGGGCTTAAGTTTACCATACTTTTCAACACAACCCTGCAAATGAACAGAGGAACTTTCAGATTAATACAAGACTTCACTCAGTTATTTACTTGTTGAAAATCACCTCGACAAGCTTCACAATTTTGGCTGCAGACATACTGAGATAATGGTCAACAGATGTAGTGTCAGTCGGCACCTGATGTGACTGAACAGCAGCGTTGACTATCTTTTCCGAAGCTCTTTTAACAACCATGTTATGCACATCTTTGGTAAGACGGCGCTCAAGCCACAGTGGTTTCACCATTTCTTTGATGGTTTCCACAACTGCATTCCGGAACAGTCTCATTGCTTTAGTCCCTGCGTCTGACCTCACTTCCCCATCTATATCATCTGATTTCAACACCTTTTTATGCGAAGTGCCGTCACTTCTACGCCAAGATCCGTGCCCTGAAGGTTTGCTTCTTTTTAAAACCACTCTATTTTCTGCAGCCGCCGAAGAAGAAACTTCTTTGCTTGGTGTTGTTGTTTCGTCATTTTGATCAACAACCGAAGTGGCCACCCCTTCCAGTGCTTCCATATTCTTCCTTGCCACAGTTTCTTGGTATTGATTTTGACTGCATGAACTGTTTTTATCATCGTTATTGCAATCCCGAGCTTGGGGACCACTAGTAGAATCACCATCTTTCTGCTGGCGGGATTTTATCTGTGCATCTTTCACTTTACTTGACGATGGAGCAGTAAGAGATCTGTCTTGTGGAATCTCTATATCCGTGAAAGGATCGTAGAGGGCATCAGACGAGGGAAGTATATAAGGTGGAATTGTGAAAGATGCTCGGAAAGGTTCAGAAGGTTCCCAATCATTTGAAGAAACTTTCTTCTTGTTACTAGTTGTGTCGGCTTCTGCATCTTGAACGGATGAAACAGATATCGCTTGTAGTGATCCAGATCCATTCATATCATTCCTGTTTTCACAATTCCCCAACGGAGAAGCATACTGATTCATAGGAACAGAACTGAACACGGAACCTGTCCAGGCTAGTCCAGAAGATCCCATGTCTGTTTGTCTATAGGAAGTGATAGAAGATCGCCTGTTCTCAGTGAAAACAGAACCACCCTTTTGTTGACTCCCTCTTCCCCTGTTTTCCAGTGAAGGCATAAAGTGCATCTCGTTGGTGAAAGGGAAAACTCTCCGACCACCTGATGGATTCACCAAAGATGTCACGCCATTTTCGCCTAACATGGAAAATCTTCCACCTTCTTTGCTCTCCAATGGTCTTCTTTCTGAACAAACATAAGTGAAATAAATCATTGGTTGATTCATGAAGAGCACCTAAGCCACCTAGAAGTATTCAACAAACTGCATACCACTGGTTCCAGCCATATGATTCTCCAAATGTTGCTGGCTAGTGATATTCGTGCTCCCCTTCACATGTTTAGACCTGCAGGAGTTCCCATTAGCACACCGACCTTGAGCAAAAAAGTTGCAGGGAAGTGCTGGACGTTTCTGTTCTGGTCCATTCACCGACGGAGCAGGAAACCTGAGAAACCGAATCTGTCAGTATATAAACCCATTTCCACCTCTCTACACTAACCTCCTAACTTAGCTTCAGTAAAAAAGCTTAAAGAACAAAACCTTTTTCGCTATACCTTGACAAAACAGTGCCATTTGATTGCTCCTCTACATGCTTCTTCACATCTACATGGGACAAGTCATATCATGAGATACTATAAGCAATCACATTCCAAAAAACATTAAAATTCAATTTCAAAACTCTCTTTCTTTAGTTAAGCACAAGAATGATGCATGTAGATTCTCTTCTTTCAACACCATCCTCAAAACAGAGCCACATCAATTTCAGTTCACGAATTTGAACTATACAACACTAACCGTTCCGAGAATCGGAAGCTTCGAGTGGTTTAGCGAGCAATCCAGAGTCTCCTGAAATCGTATTTCGAGCCTGTACTTGGACGTCGTCATCGTCAATGTCCATATCGGAATTAGACATCTCGAAGGTTTTGAGTAGAAAGTTTAACGGCTAGCGTGATCGGGGAAACCAAAGCTCAGGGGAGAGTCGAGGAGGATTACGTTTGATACCGAGAGAGAGATAAAATCATTGATACATATACGTTACTGTTTTCTTTTATGGGCCTTCCGAAAATCTAAGGCCCATATTCTGTACCAAATTCATATAACAAAACGCACCTTAAACCGTCCCTAACCAAAAGATAACCGAATCGGAAGCGTCTTGGGGTGAAATGCTGAAATGTTTTTAATGAGTCAAAAATGATTCTATCATACTTTTATTTATTCTCAACTAGGGTCGGCCCGCCCTACGAGCGGGATATACTTTACTGATAAAGTACGTTAAGAATTTTGTAATATTTTGTGCTTTGTATTATATGTTTGCATTGGAAAGTTTTGTTATTATGTTTTTATTTTGTAATTCTAAAAATTTTGGAGAGGTGGGATTATCTATTTATATCATAATTTATTTTGGTTTGGTTATGGATATATCGGATATATAAATTTTGTCTTTTTAACTTATCTGGTTATTAACACAATAGTGGTTGTCGATAGGTATCAGGTCTACGATTACAGTTTAGCACAGTACATCTGGGATATGATATTAATGAGTTGTAGATGTTTATATATTTCAATATTGGTGTTGTTTGCAGTGAGTGCCATATCGAATATTTCTATGTCTGTATATTGGATCTTTATTCATCGTGTAACATGGCATGTGTAAATGAGTAAATCGTATATATTGTGAACGTTTATGTGTTTTCTTGCTGTGTGTATGCGTCCATTTTGGTATGATGGTCGTTTGTTGCTTCTGTATTGCTTTGATAAGTATCTTTTGCATGCCGAGATGTTTAACTAATTTTAGATGAGCTTATATTTTTGGAGCTGGTTTGCGTTTGTTATGAATTTTGTTGAAGTATTATTGTCTGGTGGTTTAGGAAGTTGTTTATTTCTAATTATTTAAATATTATTTTGGTAAATTTAATTACGTTTAATTATATTTGGGTTTTTAACAGGTGGTCCAATGACGTTATTAGTTTATCTTTATTCTGTTACTTTCATTTGGTCGTATTGGTGTTAAAACACTCTTCTTTCCTAACTTTGTATTTATCCATACCAAATCGTTTGTTGTATAATCGAACATCACTGGATGTTTTCTCCCACCCCCCTCTTGGTGTTAAAACACTCTTCTTTCCTAACTTTGTATTTGTCCATACCAAATCGTTTGTTGTATAATCGAACATCACTGGATGTTTTCTCCCCCCCCCCCTCTTTTGATTCTCCTCTATATGTATTTTAGGTGGACTTCATATTTTATGGCGCATCGTATTTGATTAATAAAATCGATTGGATTAACAAATATTAAACGGAGAAAATAAAACCTGCAGAGATATAATTGTGATGTAATATTTTCCGCTAATGATATAGAGATAGTGATTCTTTGTTTGGTTTCTAAAATTTAAATTCTTGGTTTTTTCTCTTTTTTTTTTTGAATTTTAGATGTTAGATATTTGTTTTTGGTTTTTGAATTTTTGATTATAGATATTGGTTTTTTGATATCTGCATTACCGAAATGTAGACAATGAATAGTTACATTTTTAAAAATTTGGTAAAAAATATCTAATTTGTTTTGTAATATTATTAAACAAAAATTGTACTACAATGTAGTAAATATATAATACACTGGAAATATTTGTTCTTGATAAAAATGCATTATTTAATTATGGAGATTAGTTATCTGATTATTCTATAAATATTTGGCTTTTCTAAATTTGATTTTTTATTTATATAATTATTTTTAATATAATTAATTATATGTAAAATAATTTTAATAAATGGGACTTACTAAATCGAGAAATAAAAATTGAAGTATATAGATTATCAATAAAACATGTCGATTGGTTTATTCTGAAATTATTAACAAATTACTGTTAATTTTATTCCTTACTGTATGATTTTTTATAATATTTTATAATACTTTTAGATGTAAATTTATTTGTTAACAATTGCAGCTGCCACATGAAAAGGATGACACATTCCGGCAGAGCTTCTTGGTGCATCTTGAGCAGGATACATAGCACCATCCTTTGTCCATCTTGATCCCAGTAACCTTACTGGTACACACGAACTCAATGTCGTAGAATGCACCCATGTTAGATTTACATCTTACTACATAGTCGGGAAAATACTACATTTTAGAATTGTGTGATAAAACCTTACTATATAGTGGGAAAAATGCTTATAGAACTGTGTGATACAACCTGAGTTTTGGCGGTTATGATAAACTCATTCAGCTCAGAGATGCTCAAAGGCTAAATCTTCCCATATCCTCTGAGCAATGTAGGAACTGGAGTGCTTCCAGTGTCTCTGGACACCAGTCAACAGAATTGTGAGTTACACGTCAGACAATGTCATGGATTACGATTATGTGAAAATATAGTGAGACATATAACGCTGGAACCACTAAAAACTTACTCGTAGAAAATAATTCCCCCTGCAGAAGTCTCTTTATCGAAAAATATGAATTGCTGACGTTGCGTTCAAAAACAAACGTCCTACAAACACAGATTTAATATCGATTCAGAAATATGTTTGGTGTTTTCAAGTGCAAATAGTTTTTAAAGTAGAATCGTAACCTCTAAATTACATGACTCAGTACTTTATTTAGAAGAAGAATTGTACCTCCAACAACTTTAGGATTGATGTTTGTTGCCACCACCTCTAGGATCACCTCCAAAGCCTTCCAGTTTCTTGTGGAAAGAGATGGCTTGTGATTCAAACAGGCTCACTGTCACAGTAATATCACTGCCAAGGGATAAACAGTTAAATTAAATGATCAACCCATATTTCTACGATAGACTTCATATAGAGTAAATGGCGTTATTTAGTAAGACACTTACTTATTAATTTTCGCAGTTGCCATAACACGTTCATTGCTATGAGGACCGTCACCTACTGTACTCTCACAGCGGTGAGCTCCCCTATAATATCTGAGAGTCACTGAAAAGGATTATTATCTTATCTGACAATTACAATTATTAGGTTGGAAGGACACTTTAAAAATATTTCGTACCTGGGAGTTGTGTATTGGTATTAGCCAGGACGTACAGGGAATCGTGATCACGGAATCTAAACCGCTCCTCAGGTATCAGAGCCACCGGTTCGGTTAATTCAACAAATGCAAATGCAGTCGAATCACTAAACCGGATCATTAGAGCCGAGTCGGTTAACCTAAAATTCTGGTTGCACCATGCCACATCAAACCGGCTCAATGAGAAAAGAGATCCAGCCTTCAGACGTGGTCGGAACGTGTCAAGACGGTTGACATTCACAGTTGCCGGCATGAGAGTTACTACAAAATTAAATGGCCAAAAAGAAAGTGTGATTAAATTTTCATCACTGAAAGGTTTTTCATTAGGATCTGAGAACAGAGCTTCAAATTCATGTTGTTCAAGAAAATTGAGAAAATTATATGAAAAACAAACAAAAAAACATGACTAAAGATTCATCATTCAAAGGTAATTCATTTAGATCGTAGAATTTTTAAGCGTATCTGGAAAATTATATGAAGACAAACAAAAAAACATTATTAAAGATTCATCATTCCAAGGTGTTTCAAATAGATCGTATAATAGAGTTCCAAATATAACCGTGTTTAATAGCTCTGGATAATTATATGAGGAACAAACCAAAAACATGATTACAGATTCGTGTTTCATTTAGAACTGAGAATGGTTTTTCAAATTTTCATGTGTTTAATCAACAAAATCTGTGATATAAAAAAGGTTGAGTTAATTGATGAACGGAATACCTGAGAGTAGATGAAGATCATATCAACGCCCATTAGTTCTTCACCGGGAAGTAATTTTTTGCTTCCAAGAAACGGAGTCGGACTTCAACCCTCGACAAAGAACGACCTGCCACCAAATCCCGGAGAAACCACACCAACCTAAACATAATAATCTCGAAGAAAGACCTGCCACTATAATAATTACTTTCAGTTTCAGTGAGAAACCAAAACAACCTAAACATTAAAATCTTAGCAAAATCAAAGAATAGACACTCAGAAAGAGGATAAGTGTACAAAAAGAGATATGAAGAGAATATGATTTCAGGCGGAGGATTACTGACCTATTTATACTCGCAAATTACACCGACTTCACGATGTAATCCACGCATTGAAGACTTCATTTTGGTTGATTGAAGGATTAATCACG